CCAAAGCTACACAGAGAAACCCTGTCTCGAAAAAAAAAAAAAAAATTCAATACCAATTCACGTTAAAATTTTCCACACATTGCCAGGCAGTAGTGGAGCAAGCTTTTAATCCCAGCATTTAGGAGGCAGAGACAGGCAGCTCTCTGTGAGTTCAAGGTCAGCCTGGTCTACAGAGTGAGTTCTAGGACAGCCAATGCTATACAGAGAAATCCTGTCTTGGAAAAACAAAATTTTTCCACACATTGAGACTAAAGCCAGCATGTCAATACACTAATTCTGGTTTCTGAAACCCAGGTTAGACCTCTGCCCTTTAGAAAGTGAGGTTTATTTGCTTTGTTTTTTTGTTCTATTTTCTTTTTATTAAAAACTTCGTAGCAATTTGTTATAGCCACCACAGAAAACCAACACAATAAAATAGAGATGGGCCATGACACATGGTGATTCAGCTTATAATTATTTTAGCTTTAAGATGGTATGAATGGGCAGACAAGATGGCTCCAAAGGTAAAGTCTCTTGCAAGCCTAGGCTGATGACATACATAGTAGGAGGAGGGACTCAGAGGTGGAAGGAGACACCTGACTTCTGAAAATTGTCTTCTGACTCTGCATGAATACCCTCCCAATAAATATTTTCTCTTTCAAAGATGGCATGAAATAAGTATTCCCTCAATGGAAACTGAACTTAGAATTTGGATCTTTTCTGGGCCAGCAATGTGCTCTCTTGAGGTTCTGGGCAACAACGTTGAACTGAAATTCCAGATAACAACCCCAGGGGAGACAGTGGTCACTACAGTGTGCAGTGCTGCTAAGCTGTGGTGTTCAGCATGCTTCTCACTGGTGTTCGGGACTGAGGCTGGATATTTCCAGATTCTTGGTCACTTTTTCAAGAGTGAAATCAAAAGCCCACACAGATTGCAAAGTAGTGAGGAAATTTTATTTAAAGCCAAGCAATAGGACAAGGGAAGCAGGCTGTGTGAGTGAAGATACTCAAGGGCCCTGATTATTGTTTTGGGTTTCTTTTTATAGGATTAAAAAGGAGGATTTGGGCTTGTATGATTACAGTCAGGACACCTCTTCTTCTGCAGAGACCAGAGAGAGGGTCAGATCCCCTGGAACTGGTGTTATAGCTGGTTGTGAGTCACCATGTGGGTGCTAGGAATACGAGTGCCAGTCATCTAGAAGAACATCCAGAGCTCTTTAAAAAAAAAAAAAAGATTTATTTATTTATTTACTTACTAACTTATTTATTATCTATACAGTGTCCTGCCTGCATGTATGCCTGTAGGCCAGAAGAGGGCACACAATCTCATTCCAAATGGTTGTGAGCCACCATGTAGTTGCTGGGGATTGAACTCAGGACCTGTGGAAGAGCAGCTAGTGATCTTAACCGCTAGGTCATCTCTCTAGTTCCAGCCAGTACTCTTAACTGCTAAGCCATACCCAATCATGCAAAGGCATGAAGTGGTAAGTAGGAGATTTCCCCCTAAAAGTTCTCTTGAGAACACAAGCTTGCCTTATCACGCATGTATTTCAAGCTTGTTCACCCAGTTGAAGGAGGTGTATGTGTGCGGCTTAATGTACAGGAAGGTCCCGGTTCCCAAAATAATGCTAGGTGCATTCCTCAAAGAGAGGTGTCTGCAAAGGTCAAGGCAACTCAGGTTGCTAAGCTGTGTATGCATTTATTTATTTATTTATTTATTTATTTATTTATTTATTTTTGAGACAATAGGTTGCTAAGCTGTGTATGCATTTATTTATTTATTTATTTATTTATTTTTGAGACAGGGTTTCTCTGTGCAGCTTTGGAGACTGTCCTGGAACTAACTCACTCTGTAGACCAGGCTGGCCTCAAACCAACAGAGCTCCTTCTGCCTCTGTCTCCCAGTGCTGGAATCAAAGGTGTGCACCCAGTTTTTATTTACTTAAGTAAAAGAGCAAGAACTTGCAATCACCTGGTCGAGACTCCAAGAACCAGTAATAGTTAGGCACAAAACAGGAATACAACTTTGAAAATTTTATTACATGTATTTATTCATTTGAGGGGCACACAAGTGCCACAGTTCTCAGGTGCACGTCAGAGGACAATGTGGAGGGTTTGGGTCTCCACTTCTACCATGTGGATCCCAGGCATGGAACCTAGGTTATAGTGCTAACCATCATGCAGGCCCAAGGACATTTTTTTCAAAACACACACACACACACACACACACACACACACACACACACACACAGACACACATGCACACACGCACACACAGATTCCCGTAGGAAACATTGGTGACCCATCATGGGCACCCAGTGGCACCCATTTAGTGCAGTGCTGATGTGAGGGGAAATAGAAATAGAGAGAAAGGAATGGATGTTAACAGAAATGAGAAAGTTAGTTAAAATGTTGCTAAGAGCAGGTGGATCTCTGTGAGTTCGAGACCAGCCTGGTCTACTCGAGCTAGTTCCAGGACAGCCTCCAAAGCCACAGGGAAACCCTGTCTCAACCCCGCTCCCCCCAAAAAAATGTTGCTAAGAAAAAGGAAGGAAGGAAAAGAAAAACAAATTACAGGACCAGTTTGGGTGATCCAACATCTGCAATTAATATTAGTCCAGAAAGTGAGTTTGAAAAAGAAAGAAAAAAGAAAGATTGTAAAAGAAATAATTGGAGGAAAACCTTCTTGGGTAGAGGTTACGTCTGAATGAGAACCCAGTAAAATGGCATTGGTGGGACTGAGGAGATAGCTCAGTGGTTAAGAGCACTTACTGTCCTTTCAGTAAGTTCAATTTCCAGCACCCATGTGAGGTATCAGCACTCCATCTCCAGCGGATCCAACAGTCTCCTTTGGAGCATACACTCAGACCCACACAATAACGCTCACTCCAGGAAACACGCGAGGCTCGCTTTGCGGAAGTACAGTCCGTTCCCAATGATTCGATTGTAGAACTCCTAATATGATAGTAAAATACTAATCATGTCTACCGTATGTCCTAGTAGGTCGGTATGCTGTACAAGAGGATCATTAATCTGAAATCACACCGACTGCAGGACTGTGATTCTTCGCCTTGACCCAGATTTCCAAACTTAAGCCCTTTCCAAATAATCAGCAAGGAAAAGACAAAGTGGAAGCTACATTTGTGCTGGAATACTTTGAGTGGAAGAAAGGGGACACGTGCTTGCACCTCTTATCACTAGGTGCACAACCAGGCTACTAGCTTGCACGTACAAGCCTTATGACCCCAGTTGTGGCAATGGGGAAAAAACTAAACTTGCATCAAAAGAAAGACACAGCAAGATGAGCAAACAGTCTGTAATGCAGGCGCCTGCATCCGTAGGTTTCCACAAGCCAGGCTTCCTGGCCGTCCCTATCCTTCTTGCAAGCGTTAGTCTGCAGGTGTTGTCTAAAGTTTTGTTCACTTCCGTTTCTTCAGGCTCTGACCTTCACGATCACGCACACTGTCATTTCCACCCTTTAGGCACGAGCCTAGTTTTCCTTAAAGGGCTCGGGATCTGCCGGCTTTCTCCTCTTTATTCTGAACCCAGAGATTTGCCCGCGATAGACATGGGCGGGGACCCCAGCCCCGCCCCTGCCCGCCCTCGCGCCCATGGGTCCCCGGCTCCTGAGATCTGGAAGGGATCATGCTCTCGGCGCGGATCTCCACCTCTGGACCGGGAATGCCGAGTCAAGGCCCGGTAGTGCTTCCACTGCCTACGCATCCAGTCCGCGGCGATTGAACCCGGTGCCGCCGGCGAACCGAAGCCGAGGCTCATGGGCGCAGCGGGGTCCCGGGCTCCTGCGGGGACAGGAGGTGACCATGATCTGCGCAGTCGCCCGCTGCCGCTGACTTCGGGCCTGTCTCTTTAAATAGGATCCATTAGGCTTAGCTTTGTTTTTTGGTTTTTTTTTGTTTGTTTGTTTTTTTGTTTTGTTTTGTTTTTTGTTTTTTTCCCTGAGACCTTCAACCAGGGTGGGGACTGATCTGACTGTAGGGCCCAGGACAGCGTTTCTTTTCTCTGGTTTGGGCACTGCATATGTATATATGCTATGCTTTTAGTTAGGGGGCTTCAGAATGCCTTCAAGTTAACAACACATAATCAGGCCTAAACTGTTTTCTTTGGTCTCCGGGTGTTCACTGGCCATCTCCTTTCTAACTTTCTCTCATTTCCCTTCTTCAAATCGGGCATTTTTAAAAGGATTCTTAAGACTTCCTCATCTTGCATGGGATTTTTTCCTCCTGGCCCACAGCGACTGTCTCTGGAAGAACAGCAGATCAAATGCATTTTCTTTTTTGTTCCCCCTCAGAATCATTTAATTTAAAAATGGCTAAGGAATCTATGGACATTTGAAGCTGAGAGATTGATTGGGTCTTTGACAGTTCAAATACGGAAACAAAAAACTTAATGAGTTGATTCCAAAGACTAGTAACTAGTGTTGAAATGACTTGATTATGCCCTGATTTACATGTTTGTGAGGTTTTTTTTTTTTTTTTTGGTTTTTCGAGACAGGGTTTCTCTGTGTAGCTTTGGAGCCTATCCTGGCACTCGCTCTGGAGACTAGGCTGGCCTGGAACTCATAGAGATCCACCTGCCTCTGCCTCCCGAGTGCCGGTATTAAAGGCGTGTGCCACCAATGTCCGGCATTTGTGAATCTTATCTTTCCAGAATGTTAAGTTCACCAACTGAATGACTGGAAATGAGCTAGTATGCCTCTGGTAAAGAGCAGGCATTACCTGTTTAAACATTTTAAGCCCTGGCTGAGTCTCTGTAGCATGTGAAACCAGTAGCTTGAGAAAATGAGATGTCTTTCTTCACAGCCTGAGGCAGTTGACAAAGTACCCTGGTGCTCATCATTGTAGGGATTTCTGAAAAATCGGGCACATTGGTCCTTTTCATTGTACATCAAGGTAGACCAGAATGCTTAGTATTTTCTGCACTGAAATTCTAACAGAAGAGTCTATGCATGAAAACAATGTTTCAAATTTGCAGTGATATTCCAGGCTTGTTTTGTGTTGGGTCATAATGGCAGAATTTAGAATAGCCTTTTAGCTGAACAATTGTTTTCAGAGTCTACTAACTAGACAGTAAGATGTCACTTGTGTGTTTTACCCAGAATCACAATTACATCCTTGTAATAGCAGTGTGTTTGCATTCAAGGTGACAGCTCTGGGGGAAGTTCAAGAGAGACATCTGGGAGACTTTCAAGAGAACAGATTTATGTACTGGTGTCAGCAGCATCCATGAACTTGGGTTGCATGATGGCCTATTCCATTCTTGGACCATTTTTTCCCAAGGAGGTAAAACATTTTTATATTTGTATAAACTAATTTTTAGAAAGCCTTTTTTTTAGTTATATAATTTTAGTTGCTATAAAATGTAATAAGGGGGGGCATGCCTCCGCAGTCAAGAGTATGTCCTGCTCTTCCAGATGACCTGAGTTTAGTTTCCAGCACCCACATCATTATATGTATTTTAGAATTAGGTTGTTTGTAACCCAGTGTGGTGACTCATGCCTTTACTCCCAGTAGTCAGAAAGCATAGGCAAGGAGTAGCCATGGTCATATAGTCAGACTCTGACTCCGAAAGTAGGGTAGTCCAAGATATTCATTCTGAATTTATTATGCACTCAGAAATAATATTTACTCAAAGGAAGGGTTCTGATTAACATTGCCAGTCTCCCTCTAATCTTTGCCCTTTACATGGTGTTAGGAACTGTAGCTGGTGGCACAAAGGTTCTCCTGGGGTATGGAGGCCATGAATATAATATGGATTGAAGGGAACTAGTTTGGGCACGTTCAGACAATATGTCCAAATGTTTATTTTGTGTATCTTCCCAACGTTTTAGGTTCACAGCACACTGACAACTTCTCAGTTCTCAAACTGCCTTGTCAGAATGTAGTCCTTCATTCGGTGTGCCACCAGAAAGGCTTTTCTGCTAAAGGAACAATGTGGCTCCATACCCATACAACACTCACTGGTTTTCAGCACGTGTTGCCACCCATTCATCTACTTGGAGCCTATAACCATCCCATAAAGAGAGACAATAATGAGGATCCCACCGTGTTACTTTAAAATAGCGATCTCAGAAGTGAAGGGCTTTCCTAGTTAGTCCAATTTCACTGGAGGCTTAAGTTCCTACTCTGGGTTCATTGAGTTGTACATATATATGTCCAGGCAAAGAAAAGCCAGGAAGTTCCCCATCTCACTTGTTCATTATGAACCAAAAATATGAGAAAAGGAAGGAGGGGGGAAGGAGAATCGATTCAGGCTTTGGGTGCCTTTTAAGTAAAGATGTCCAGGAGTAATGATACTGAGGAGGGAGGATGCTTCCCTGTCTTTGGGCAGAATCGAGCCAAGGAGAAAGGTGTGGTACTGAGACTCTTCAGGTTAATCGAGGTGTGTCATGAGAAATGGTAGCTTCTACGGTAAATAACAGGGGAGGGCGTCATTACAGATGTGGTCAGGGGAAGAGCAGAGCGAATGTCATATTCTTATGGAAGAGAAGACAGCTCACTGGGGCTTAAGCTTAGGGCAGAGTGAGACCTTGATAGAAGGCTGAGGCTCTGAGGGGCAAGCTGCAGCTAGAGTGCAAGAACACTGGGATGTATGCCCAGGACTTGGTCACTGGAAGAGCATCAGAGCAGTTGGGCAGATTTGGGTTTTGTAAAAAAATAGTGATGGGAGCCCCTAAGGCAGTGGTTCTTAACTCCCTCATGCTATAACCCGTCAATACAGTTCCTCATGTTATGCTGACCCCAAAGCATAAAATTATTTTCATTGCTATTTCATAACTGTAATCACGAATTGTATTGTAAATATCTGATGTGTAAGATATCTCATTCACCACCTCTGCCAAAGGGATCATGACCCACTAAGATTAATGAAGGTGTGTTAGTTCGGGTTTCGTTTTTTTTTTTTTTTTCATTTATTTATTTATTAGATGTGCTTGGAGTTTTTACCTGCACCCTGTACATGCCTGGTACCTGTGGAGGTCAGAAGTGGACATCAGATCCTCTGGGACAGGAGTTACAGATAATTTTAAACTTCCATGTGGGTGCTGAGAATTGAACTTAGGTCCTCTGGAAGAGTACCCAGTGCTCTTAACCACTGAGCCATCTCTCCAGCCCCTTTAGTTAGGGTTTCTATTGCCATGATAAAACACAATGACCAAAAAACAAGTTGGGGAGGAAAGAGTTTATTTGGCTTACACTCCCATATCACTGTTCATCATTGAAGGAAGTTAGGACGGGAACTCAAAAGGGCAGAAACCTGGAGGCAGGAGCTGATGTAGGGGACATGGAGGGGTGCTGTTACTGCCTTGCTCCTATGGCTTGCTTGGCCTGCTTTCTGATAGAACCTGCTCAGGGGTGGCCTCACCCACCATGGGCTGGGCCCTGTCCCATCAATCACTAATTAAGAAAATGCCCTACAGGCCTGCCTATAGCCTGATTTTTGTTTGTTTGTTTGTTTTGTTTTGTTTTGAGACAGGGTTTCCCCGTGTGACAGTCTCAGCTGTCCTCACATTGTAGACCAGGCTGGCCTTGAACTCACTGAAATCTGCCTGCCTCTACCTCCCAAGCACTGGGATTAAAGGCATTCACTACCACCTCCTGGTTTTAGTCTGATCTGAGGCATTTTTTTCAATTGAGGCTCTCTCCTCTTCAGTGACTCTAGCTCATACTAAGTTGGCATAAAAATGACCAGCACAGAAAGGGGAAAACCAACAGAAATTCAGTTGCTCCTGCTATGTATTCACAATACAGATCACTTTTGTGGCCTCAAAGACACAGTAATGCCTGCCTCCTTTTTCTCTAGCAAGCAACTCTTCGGCAGCAGACACAGCAGTGTTCTCTAATCTAGAACAATTGTGACTGTCATTTGGAGATATCTCAGTCCTAGGACTGAGCCCTACTTTCAAATGCCAGTGGCAGACCCCATGTTATCTAACCTGGTCCTCGTGACTAACTGACTCTAAGTTAGGGTTCATAGTACCATCCTTGGATTCGATTGAGTTGCTTAATTGGCCACAGAACTCAGGGAAACACGTAAGGGCCTGGATTTATTATACAGTGGGTGATATGTCGTCCATTAGGGACGTCCACATTTACAGCTGTGTAGAAACTATGAGCCCTGTGCCTTTGGGGTTTTGTGGACCTGATAGTTTACAGACTGGGTGTAGAAACACAGTCAGGCCTGGCAGGCTGGATTCTTTTTTTGTTCTCTTTATAATATTCCTCCCCTCAGAAAATGAGACAGAACCTTCTGGAATGAGAAAGGTCTTATAATCTGTCATAAAGCTAGATGACAGTTACAAGCCAGGAACTAAACTAACTCTCTCTCTTGTCTGTCTGTCTCTCTCTGTCTGTCTCTGTCTGTCTCTCTGTCTGTCTCTCTCTCTGTCTCTCTCTGTCTCTCTGTCTCTCTCT